ACTACACTTTATAGTGTGACTAAGTAGCTTATTTCATAAATATACTTGAACAGAAAGTAATATGGACTATAGCTTAAATTAGTCTTTTAATAAAAAAGGCAAACTTAGGAGTGAATAATAAAAATTATATATTTGTAGTATCTTTTGAGTAGAAATTTAAAAATTTGCTGATGCTCGTGACTTTATTCGGAAAATAAATAAACGAATTAAATTAACCCAACCTTAAATAGTACAAAAATATTCAGTACAATCAACCAATCAATCAGAAAAATAGGTCTGACCGAGTCGATGTCAGTCCGGTCAAGGTAACTGATATGAAATATGCTTGAGTTTTATGTGTGTCAGTCGGTGTGAAAAATGTGGAATACGTAACGTGAAAGGATAGAGTTGAATTTGTATGATAATAATGTGAGTTGTGAATAGAATCAGACATGGTAGATTGGATAGATAGTTCAAGCCGAATGAATAGAAAGACCTTCCTTTCTATTGATAGCAGTACGACTTAGCATCATGTGCAGAGCTTCAGCTATTTGTCTTTCTAACTGAAAAGAAAGGCGAATGGGCTATTACACAAATTCCAACAATTGAATCACACATCAAAAGTTCCCAGGATGATTAATACATAAAATACATTTACGAGTAAATGATTAACAAATTGTACAAACAATAAACGAACATATGATAAGATGTAAGCAGCAGACCTAGTTTTTCATGTATGTAATAAGTAAAACAGACTCCATAAAGAAAATGATAACCCAACAATATCATCATATTCCATTCAGTTGAATCATAATTTCTGAGAATTAAACATTCTTTAAGTCATTGAAATAATATGAAATATCTCATGTGCATAATTTTAATGATTGATTGATTGGTTTAATTGCGCAGAATTTAATGTCGGTTGAGAAAACAACACCATTAACATCACAACAACAAAAATAAATTGGTTGTTACCCACGGTAGATGATGAGTTATTCAAGCTGAAGCGCTTGGTTATCAGCCAATCAAAATTTACAGGCTTCAACTTAGCCCTACAAAGGATAGTTTCATCTGCTGGGCAGTAGATAATTCTTCGAACAAAAAATGTGAGTCTTTAATGGCCCAGAACCTGATTCCGATTTTAATGAACTATTAGATATTTTGATAGAACAGTGAGAAGACACGATTGGTCTGATCAAAGTCAAGGTATTTTATATGAAGATTATAAAAAGGTCAATTCAATAAAAGTTCAAATAGACATAAGGTGATAATTGTAAATAAAGGAGAGAGAAAATTTACGTAATATGAAAAGAATAAGAAAGGGTAGGAAAATTGTCACATTACCCTAGGCTTAAAGATTACCAGGGTAAATATTCAAGGTTATAACAAATTGTTTCTGTACACATAAAGGGGGTTCTAATTTACGAATAGCCAAGGCTTCCATAAACCTCAATGTTCTATCAAAATTTATAAAAAAAGAGACTATTTGTTTTAAATTTCTGACAATTAAGTATGCTATGAAATAAATAAATAAATTTCCTTTTATCATTCATTCTTAGGTGAACCCCATTTGTGTGACGGCGGTGATGAAAAATCTCATACGGTTTTTGTTGAATAAATTTATTTCACTCATTAAAGCTGAAGAAATAGAGAATGTAAACCTTAAAAGCGAAGGAAAGTGAAGCAGGCTAGTGGGCCAACTCAGTGAGATGAGACATGACTAAGTATTTCAAATGTGTAAAAACACAAACCTCCAAAACTCTGCCCCAAAATATCGGAACAGTGCTCACTAGTGACTAGCTTCGTGAGGAAATTCTCAGAGTTCTAGGTTGAGAAGACGTGACCAATGGAGTTCAACCCTGTCGGGTGTAGGCAGTAACTACCAAAGACAAATGGGTGAGGTCGCGCAAAAATCCCAAGATCAATCAGAGTCAGACATTAACACCGTTGGATGCCGGCCCAGTGTTCCGATGGTTAGGTGTTCGCGCACAATACCGAAGGTCCTGGGTCGTGGATGCGCACTGCTGATGAGTCCCATACCAGGACGAAACGGCCGTCCAGTGCTTTAGGGTTTCTAATGGTGGTCTAACAATGATTGACTGATGATTTCAAATGTGTAAAAACACAAACCTCCAAAACTCTGCCCCCAAATAAGTATTTATAGCCAGACGAAAATAAGCTAAACATGTGTCAAGCGAAGTAAGAACAGCACAGATGGAGTCAAGTGAAAACAGCCAGGGTTATAAGGGAATAATTGACAAGTTCAAAAGATGAGCTGAATACTAAGTCGAGAAGAATGGATAAATTAATTTGTCCAAAGGGTGGAGACAAGCTGTATGGGCACGACAGTACACAGTTAAGTCGAAAAGTAGTACATAAACTTGTACTGGATCAATAAGTTACATTAATAATAATAATAATAATAATAATAATAATAATAATAATAATAATAATGGTGTCTTTATTCATCATATGGGATTCTCAACACAGAGTATTTTAACAAAACCAACCAACAAATTCAATAACTGCATCCCTAAATACATCGAAAATTTAAGTAAGCATACCATCTGGTATTTAAATGTATTGTCTTTTTGATATGATGAGCATTTAGGCGACTTTTTAGTTAGAAAAATGTTTGGGAATATAAGTTTTCAACCAGATTAACTCTTACCACCTGTTCGTCGCACAGATTATTTGCTAAATTAGGTATTGCACGGTTCGCGTGAATTCAGTGGATAGTTAATGTTAGATAAAGCAAAACGTCCCAGGAGTTTGATAGCTTTTAAGTGTCTATCGACTACCGTATTCATAATGGCTTCAAAAGATTCACCAAAAACTTTGCTAACCACCTTCAATAATCTCTGCAACAAGGTAAAATCTTTCCTCATAAGCCCGGGAAAGAATAACGTGAAACAGTAAAGGATAATAGGCAATATGCAGGAATTTACAAAGCGTATAAGTGCCCAGAATGCTAAGAGCATGTAGCCTCTTTATATGACAAGTTAAATGGAAAACTTTTTTCGATATGAGTAGAACATCAGAAGACCAACAGAGATCATATGAAAAACTCAAATCAACAAAAATAACCTTTGATACTGTTTTTATGATAGAATATTCAGTAGTACAGACTTCATGGGAACCCAACAGGGTGTTTAAGTCCTGTTCATGTTTCAGGCTAAAATTAACAGCTTGACGTGTAAAAAGATTAGGTGCGAAACCATTAACGACGGAGCATCATTGAGTGAGAGACAAGAACTTTTCCAGGAGATGTGAAGCATCAGAAATTTGTGTACATACAATGAGATCATCTGCATACTTAATAAGAGTGTTTTCTGTAGAAGATGGCAGATCGTGTAGAAGAAATAAGAAAAGAAAATGGAAAAGAAAAGATAGTTGTGGCACATCTTCTTAAGTTAGTAAATCATTGAACACATTCTTCCAAGAACAGTATATTGTCCTCTCACAGAAAGGTAAAAACGCAGCCAGTTGGTTACTCATCTATCATTGTTAGCGCTGGCAAGCTTGTTTAGTACTCGTGGTTTTGGTATAGATTCAAAAGCAGAAGTATGCTCTAGAAATGTGTATCGAACATCTTTCTTATGCGCTTTTCTAGGCTCAGTACTATACACAGGACAACAGCAGAATCGAAGGCAATTATTTTACATTTGTAAAGAAACTGATACGAATCAATATACTTTGTAGTGCCTTCATATATATTTGAGTTCGCTTATATTTAATTTGGTTAAGCCTTTCGATTAATTTATGTAACCGAACCACTTGTATAGCAACAATTTATATGTACCATTGGTTTTTAACATTAACGCGAGTAGGATGAATATGCGCGTAGGCGTAAGCAATATTCAGTTGTATCAACTCATACAAACCAGACAATAATAATCTCTATACAAACATTTTAATCTCACTACTTCATTCACCGATTCGCCAACTCGCTTGCTAGTGCGCTTGCCCTGCTTTGTGTATTTGTGGTCTACTGGTCCATTTTGTGCTGTCATAAATAAACGTATTCAACTCCTCGTGTTTGCCTTCTGATTTATAACCGTCAAATGCTATTTGGTGACGACTGCCTAGACGAGCAAATTATACGAAGACTAAGAACACGTTGAATATAGACCGTCACGAAACTAGTGATACATTGGCCATAACAACTCTTTTAGAGTCGTTGAAGTCGTTGAAGCAGCAGAAGTCTTTCTATTGTTTTAAAAGATACAGTAATTGCTCAAGGTCTAAATTCTACATTCCTATTACCAGATACTTTCTTTGAAATATGAATTATCTCAATCAGTCTCCACAATTTTAGTGTAAAATTTGTTGAGAAGGATTGATTAATGATTTTTGTGAATGGATGACATAGGATGCCAGGATAGTTTTTAAAAAGAAGGTTTGAAATTTCGTCAGGCCATAGACATTAGGATGATTTAAGTGACTATAGACATTTTCAAAAATCAATCAAAATAGAAACTGGAACAGAAATCTCTTCCAAACTTGTAGATATAGAAAGTATAACAGCATCAGATGATTGACGAAAGTAAGTGTTCTGTTTTATTTCGCTTCAAAACAGAATTGTGTAGATGAACTAAGATTAAATAGCTTTGATCCCAATTCCGCAACGTTCGTATTGATCGAAAGTGTTTTAAAAAAACATAAAAAATACAATACGACAAAAAGAAATCACTGTGACCTAAATTTCGGATTTGTACTGAATTATTTTTACACTAGAATTATACAATACAAAAAGAGGAATTAATCAATGTTAAAATAAAACGAATGAATAGTCTATTGAGTACAAAAAAAAAACCTAAAGTAGATGAGATAAAATTAAAACGATTATCAGTGAATCTTACAATTTACTAATGACTTTGTATTATATCATGGAAATCTAACAGTATATGTATAATCCAAAGGTTTGTTCCACACCATTTATGAAAACGAGGTTAAATCAATAATAGAATGCAAAAAAAACCTTTGGTAAATAAACAGTAGGAACAGCAATGACGACTTACTAATCTTCGTCTTTTTTTATTCCAACCTTCAGCTCTTCGCCTGGAGTCAGTACGACCAGAGGCTGATAAAATGAAAATATAGATAATATATAGAAAAAAAAGTCAGTAGATTTTAGACGGTATAATGACGATTAATAATATGAAAATAGTCAAATGTGATTGAATGTCGTTTAATGCATTTATTTTAAACAGATTGCTGGAAATAATAAACAATTACTTGTTAAAAAATCATAGTAACTATTGAATATTTGATGCAGTCAGTCAGTCAGTTACAATGTAGAACTTCGCACGTACATCAGTTCAGGTTGCCATACCGCATCATCACAGAGAAGCAACTGTAAGTTCAAATTCCATTGTGGTGGAGATAGTAGAAGAATTAGGGGTAATGGTCAGTCAGTCAGTCAGTTGCAACGTAGAACTTCGTACGTAAGTACATCAGTTCATGTCGCCATACCACATCAGCACAGAGATATAATTGTCAATTCAAATCCAATAGTAGGAGAGTTAGTAAGGGTATTAGAAGTAATCGGAGGTGTTAGGATTAGAAGATATTATTCAAGAAGTATGATTAAATGGGAGAAGTTTAGAAAGTCAAAACTAGAGGGGTTGAAGAATCCAGAAGATTAGGATTTGAGAGAACAAAAAGAATAAATGCACCGGCGCCATTGCAAACGATTTTGATCCATGTCATTCAAGGTCTCTGACCATCGATTATTATCATCTCGCGGATCCCAACCAGGTAGTCGACAACTACCGACATGGCTAAGTCCACTTGTCAATGACTTCATGGATTTCTGCCATGTTTTGGTTTGGCCGCCCCTAACTTTCTCCCAACCTATTCCTACACTACAAAACAAAGTTCGTCGAGGCAGTCGGTGGTTTGGTATACGTAACACATGTCCCAACCACCTCAACTGATGAAGTTTCACCACTTCATCTATTGATCTGCCATTCTTACCTAGTACTCATTTCCTAACGACAGCATTGCTCACTCGAGTGTCCCACGGTATACGAGCAATGCTTCTTAAACATCTATGATCGAATACTAGTAACCTACGAACATCTACTCTTAACGGCCATGTTTCGCATCCATGTAGGAGAACGGAACGAACTGCTGCGCAGTACACCCGCCCTTGTGTTAGCGAACGGATATCACGCCTACGCCATAACTGACGCAGGTTGGAAAAAGCCAATCGAGCCTTCTGTATCCGAGCTGAGATTTCGTCAGTCACCAGGCCATCGGCACTGACGAGACTCCCCAGATAAGTGAAGCGGTCTACACGTTCGACTTCTTCACTCCGCATCACTAGTTCAGGTGCCGATGAAACCCAATCTTCAAGCAACATTTTGCATTTCGAGGGGGAAAACCGCATCCCGAACATGCTTGCATTGTTGCTCAGGGTAGTCAGAAGACTCTGCATTTTGTCAGCGTCTTCACCAAGTAGGACTATGTCATCGGCATATTCTAAGTCAATAAGCGAGCCACCTGATAGAAGGTCTACTCCTGAAAATTCAGACGAGGATAAGGTTATTTCTAGGAGCATGTCTATGATAAAATTAAACAAGAATGGAGAGAGTGGACATCCCTGACGGACACCATTTGAAGTGAAGAATTCCGGTGACAGTTCGCCATAAGCTCTCACTCGACCAGTGGTGTTCGAGTAGAGAGCTTGTATGAGGTTAATGTACTTCTTTGGTACACCTTTCAATGACAGACACTGCCACAGAACCTCACGATCCACTGAGTCAAATGCCGCTTTTAGGTCTAGGAAAACAACTATTGTAGGACGCCTAAATGGGTGTCTGTGTTCCAGGACCTGTCGTAGTGTGAAAATGTGGTCTATACAACCACGTCCAGGTTGAAAACCAGATTGGTTTTCTCGAGTTTGCTCTTCACGAGCTTTCGTTCGTCTTTTTATTTTTGACGGTGGGAGTCTAACGTTTCGAGGGTCATTAATACAGTGGTTTGGCGTTACATCAAGCAGAAAACATAAAAGTGGCGACGGAGTGTTCAACCCACAATGCCAATTACCCTTGAACAGATAGAATCTTTACTGGAACGACAAGGAAAACGATATGAACAGTTCCAGGAACGTATGTTGGAGTTGTTTATGAAACAAATAAATTTGAATCACAGAGGTCTTACCGACGACTCATATAATCCACATACAGACTCGATAGTTAATTCCATTCATGAATTTCATTTTGATGGCCTTGCTGGTGTGACTTTCGAGTCTTGGTTTAAGAAGTATGAGGATTTGTTCAAGGTCGACCTCAACAATCTTGATGACGCCACCAAAGTTAGAATCCTCTTGAGAAAGCTCGGCACAATCGAACACGAACGTTATAGTAACTTCATCCTCCCAAAGAACCCACGAGATTTTTCTTTTGATGCTACAATCGAAACGCTGTCGCAAATCTTCTCTAAACAGTCATCTCTCTTTAATATTCGTTATCGATGCCTCAAAATAACCAAGTCAAATGAAGATGATTGGGTAAAGCACGCCGGCTTAGTAAATCGTGAATGCGAACGATTTAAATTATCATCAATGACGGAAGATCAGTTTAAGTGCCTTGTGTTTGTGTGCAGCTTACAATCTCCCGAAGATGCTGATATAAGAACCAGAATCTTAAGTAAAATTGAGCAGTGCCCAAACATCTCGCTTCAAGAAATAACTGCAGAGTGCCAGAGATTAGTAAATTTGAAGCATGATACCTCCATGGTCGAAAACAATGGCCGTGCATCATACGTGCATGCCGTTAGTGAAAAGAAAAATTCCGGCTCACAAAAGCAGCACAAAAGCACAGACAACCAGCCCTCTTCTCCATGCTGGTCATGTGGAGGTTGGCACTATAAGAAGTTTTGTCCATACAAAGATTATGTTTGCATTAAATGTCACAAAAAGGGTCACAAAGAATCTCGATGTAGAAAAAAAACTCGCAGACATTACTCCGCGAAATTTGATTCCAAGAAATACAGTTCTGGTAAGCCAATAAACCGAGTATTGGTGTCTCATAACCAGACAAGAATTCACCAAAGAAGAAAGTATGTGACTTTGGATATGAATTCACACCGTATCCGTCTTCAACTTGACACAGCATCTGATATCACCCTTATCAGTCCAAAAACTTGGGAGAAAATTGGAAAACCTACAGTTCACCAAACGAAGCAACTAGCACACAGCGCATCTGGTGGTAAGTTAAATATTGTTGGAAAAATATTGTGCACTGTTTCAAAAAAATGAGGCCACAACGAGTGCAACTGTATACTTAACTAAAAACCCAGACCTCGATTTATTGGGGTTGGATCTCATAGATGCATTAAAATTAACAGACCACTCTATCAACAACATCTGCAGCCGAGTTAGAATCAATAACCCTTTAGAGTCAAATCTGAGAAATGCCATTATAAAAAGGCATCATGAAGTATTTTCGGAAGCGTTAGGCGAATGTACCAAAGCCAAAGCACTACTGACTCTCAAGTCAACAGCTATTCCTGTTTTTCGACCAAAAAGACCTGTACCTTATGCTTCTCTCCCAGTAGTTGAACAGGAACTGGAACGACTTCAAAAAGTGGGTGTTATTGAACCTGTAAGTTTCTCCAAATGGGCTGCACCGATTGTGGTGGTCAAGAAATCAAACGGAAGTGTCCGTCTATGTGCTGATTACTCTACGGGACTGAATGATGCTCTAGAACCCCACCAGTATCCCTTGCCAATACCTGAAGATCTTTTCGCTAAGCTAAATGGAGGCAAGGTGTTTGCAAAACTGGATTTATCGGAAGCTTATTTACAGATTCCTGTCGCTGATGAAAGTAAAGATCTGCTTACTATTAATACACATAAGGGCCTATTCAGATATAATCGGTTACCTTTTGGAGTCAAAACCGCGCCCTCCATATTTCAACAGGTGATGGATACTATGCTACATGATCTCCCTGGCGTTGCAGCTTACCTGGATGACATAATAATTATGGGCGTTGATATAATAGACTTAGAAAAGAAGCTCGACCAGGTGCTATCAAGAATAGCTGAATATGGATTCCGGCTTCGTGTGGAAAAATGCGACTTTTTCATGCAGAGTGTACGCTACCTCGGTTTTATTATCGATAAAGACGGGAGAAAACCAGACCCAGAAAACACTCAAGCTTTGAAAGAAATGCCGAGACCGACAGATGTTTCCACACTTCGATCCTTTCTGGGGCTCGTTAGTCATTATGGAGCTTTTATCCCTGACCTTCATCGTCTACGCGCCCCATTAAACAATCTTTTAGCAAAGAACGTAAAGTGGTGTTGGTCCAATAGTTGTCAAATTGCTTTCGAGAAGATTAAAAAACTGCTACTCTCGGATCTGTCGCTGACACACTATGACCCATCCCTCCCCATTGTAGTAGCGTCAGATGCTTCAAGCTACGGCATTGGAGCAAGCATTTCGCATATCATGCCTGATGGGTCAGAGAAGGCAATCTCGCATGCAGCAAGGTCTTTAACTACAACAGAACGTAAGTATAGTCAGATTGAGAAAGAAGCTTTGTCAATTATTTTTGCCGTAAGAAAATTTCACAAGATGATATTTGGACGCAGCTTCACACTCTTAACTGACCACAAACCGCTGCTAGCCATATTTGGGTCAAAGAAAGGGATCCCAGTCTATACGGCGAACAGATTGCAACGATGGGGAACCACATTATTGGGCTACGACTTCAAAATTAAGTACCAACCTACTACTTCTTTCGGACAAGCTGACGCTTTGTCTAGACTCATTGGTTCTCAAGCGAATCAGGAAGAAGATATCTTGGTGGCTGCGATTGAGTCAGAATTACATCGAGTGTTGAAAGACGCAGTAGATGGTCTACCAGTTACATTCAAAGCTATTAAAGAGGCTACAATAAATGACAAAATACTACAAGAAGTCAAAGGTTATATCCTCTCAAAGTGGCCGAATCGTCGTCTACAAGGAGAACTGCAACAATATTTCCGCCGGCGCGATTCACTCACTATTATCGACTCATGCATTATGTTTGGTGACCGAATTATCATTCCAAAATTATTGCGACATAAAA